TTCCGCATTTCGGACACGTTTTGTGTACGACACTAAAGGACAGCCGCCACACACCTTATGGGCCATTTTGCAATTTCTGAAAGATTAGAAATATGTTTGAATAGTAAATTTTCAGATATTTTTGTTACTTCCCTAATTAAATACATGATTTACTGATCAACTACAAATTAATAGTTGATAGTAATATTAATTTTGAATATATTTGTATAGAAATATAAAAAAGTTATATATAAATAAAAGTTTATATATGTTTATATAGCATATATATAAATATACCCCTATACTTATAATATTTATATGTTTCCCCCAAGTTCTCGTATCTCTATTTTTCGGACATGCCGTTTCGACGTACCCTTTTTTCCCCGTTTCTCTGTATTGTCGTTTTCGTGTTTGTGCTACATAGATAACAAGTGATATTTTATGCGTACCATGATTATATACAGGGGCCAAATGGGTGCTAATGTCAAAGGAGTTAAGGAACCGAATCATACTAATGAAACAAATCTGAAGAGCAACGAGAAACAACCCAAAGAGATTGTGACTTCTTCGGCAAGTAAGGGAGGGTGTTGCAGAGGTGCTGATGGATTCTCATGCTGCAAAGACGAGAATGTTGAGAAGAAACCAGTTAAAAAAGGACTGTTGTCGTGGATAGGGAAATAGGAGCAACACCATATTATCACTACTGTTGTTCTGGTGGGTGTGCAGTACGTTGCTGCAGCTGTTGTGCCTTTATGGTGAGTACTAAACTACTACGGCGACCACTTTGAGATTTTAATACACTGTTGATTGGGTTTGTATAATTATTGATGATTTGATCTTTTATTCTTGTATGTGTGAATTATTACTTTCTTTGTTGCATGATTTATGTATAAATAAGTTGTAACGGGAATCCATTTGTTGTGGGTATATCTATGTCCTATTAAAAGGCCGTACAACAAAATAATAAAAGTGAGCTTCTTTCACAATTCAAATCTTGTTATCAAAATGAATACATGACAAACACCTTTTAGTTTGAAACAATTGAGAAAATGAATACTTATCCGAGAGCGATAGAGCTTATGAAGTGAATTTCGAGTATTTGGAGGTTATGAAGTGAATTTTGAGTAGTTGAAGATTCATTTGTGATAGTTTTGATAGAGGGCGCACTCCCTGAACCCCGTCATCTTTGAGTCCACCGTATTAGCATTCCAGATTTTGCAGCTGTTGATCTACTACTAAACTTTGAATATGTTTGACTAAAATTTTGGATTTGTTCGTTATTTGCTATTAACTGATTAACAAAGTCAAAAAAATTCCATAAGCAATTCATCTATAATGTCATATTAAAATTATTGTTTTTTTGGTAAAATAATCAAGTATTACATTAAGCTAAGACGCATTTCAGTGGTTAAGGACAGTTTCCTTGGAAAAAAAATCAGTGATCTTCTTTGTTTGACAAATTAGAAGATAGGAAAAGATAATGTGAGCCAGCTAGTATGCGAAAGGAAAGGGTGTGTTTTTTTTTTCTTTTT